AAAACATAAAGGAAAGAAGGAAAGAAAGGAAGGGAGGAAGGAAGGAAAGAAGTAAGAAAGGAAGTTAAGTCAATCCACGATTAACACTCCAAGAAGACTGACCATGATTATCTAATGGATTCTGTACCTTCTGAGACACAGATAGTCTGCATATATCCCAGATTTGAGAATCTGGGGCCTAGAGGATCCTCTGCAGCCTTTCCACCCCCAAGTCTAGGTCAAACCTTGGGTTTAATAAACCGAGGGAGTGCGGTGCAACTTCCATCCCAACATGGGCTCAGTTTATTCACCTCTAAGATGGAGAGGCTGGGACCTGCCTGCCTTGGTTGCCTTCTAGGCTGCAGGCAGGTAGAGTAAGGTGATTTGTGTCAGAGTACCATGTATGCTTGGATGGAGCCGCACAAAGGGTGACCGTCGCGGAGACAGCCCTGCAGTCGCTGGCCACTGCTTCCTTAGGGCTGAGACTTGCCCATCCCAAGTTCCAGAAGCATCTTCCCAGCAAGTGACCTCGAGGACAGGCCAGTCTTACTGCTAGATGGGCTGGGCAGGGAGCTGCCCTTCTTAGGTCCTAGATGGTCACTATAGCATCTGCCAGGCCACACCAGCCAGGGCCCACTCCTTGTGCTGAGTCCTCCAAGGATAGTCCCAAGCTCTTCCCAGCATTCTCAGGAGTGGTGCCAGGCAGGCTGGTGGAATTTCACCAGCATCTCTCCTCCCACTCTGATCAGCTTTCCCGGCCCACTCTGAATGCAGACTAGCTCTGGTGGATTCAGAGACCCGGGAGAGCTCTGGCAAGGGTTCAGCTGCAGATCACACTTGTCTGTTCAAATGCTGAGCTGCTGTGTCGCTAAGTTGTTCCTCGTTCCTCCATCCACTCCAGTCCATCAGGTACTCTGTGCTGACTGGAAGTCCCCTGTCCAGAGCACCTCTGTCATAATGGGAATATTCTCTATCTGTGCTGAGCAGATATGATCACCACTAGACTCTAGCCATTGAGCACTTGCAATGTGACTAGTGCCACGGTGGAACTGGATTTTAAATTTTATTTTAATTATTTAGATCTAAAGAGTCACGTGTAACAAGTAGCTACACATAGGACAGTACAGTTCTGGTTGGAGAACACATAGGCAGGCAGGTGACCCAAATAAGGTGGATGGACTGTGCTACACATAAAGAGGGATGTCCGATGTGTCCCTTGCATGTGGAATGGAAAGGGATCATTTCCAGGGGTTAGGATCAGGAAGGCCTCAAGAGGGAGGGGGAATCTGAAGTAGGTTTAAGCATTAGGGATTCACAAACAGGGCTAGAGAGGAGGGTGGGGACATTTCTTTTGGAGCAGGAGAGCATGTAATCTTTAAGATGTAGATCTCCAGCTGCACCAGGCACCATGGGACAGGCCACCAGAGGCAAATAGGTGAGCAAGGAAGGAGAGAGAGAAGGAGGCAGGAAGTGAACTTTGCAGGCCCCCGAGGAATGGCGCTTTACTCCACCGGGTTATTGAGGGAATGCTCTCAGGTCATGTGGGTCAGACACAAGGCCAGGCCTGGAACACAAGAAGCTCTCAGTAAATAGCAGCAGTTACTGACAGTGGGGAGCCTCTGGATGTGGTTTGTGTGTTTGTTTGCTTTTTAGGCCTGGTTTTTAAATCACTTTTTAATTATGAGATCATTGTAGATCAGCATGTAGTCATAAGAAATAATAGAGCTGGGCGCTGTGGCGCACGCCTGTAATCCCAGGGGCTCGGGAGGCTGAGGCGGAGGATCACAAGTTCAAAGCCAGCCCCAGCAAAAGAGAGGTGCTAAGCAACTCAGTGAGGCCCTGTCTCTAAATAAAATACAAAATAGGGCTGGAGATGTGGCTCAGTGGTTAAGTGCCCCTCAGTGCAATCCCCAGTATCCCCCGCACCCCCCACAACACACACACAAAGAAATAAGAGAGACCTGTGTGCTATTCACCAAGCTTGCCTCAGGGGGAATTGTGGTTTTGTGTCCCAACCAGCAACACTGATACAGCCAAGATACAGGGGCGATTCCATCGTCCACAGGAACCCTCATGTTGCCCTTTGATAGCTAAATGCACTGGTCTCCTCCTCTTCCTCCAAACCCCAGGCAGCTGCTCACCTATTTTCCATTTTAATGTTTTTGTCATTTTAAGAATGTTGTGTAAATGAAACCATATGGATTGGCTATGTACCACTTGGGATTGGCTTTTTTCCCATTTGGCACAATTCTGTGGAGATTCATTCATGCATGTATTGACAGGTTGTTCCTTTTAACTATTAAGTAGTATTCCATGGTACAGATATATCGTTTGTTTGACCACTTACCCACTGAAGGACGTTTGGGTTGTTTCCAAGTTTGTCTCTTACAAATAAACCTTCTGTAAACATTTGTGTACATGTTTTATGAAAACATTTTTATATCACTGAGATAAATACCCAGGAGTCCAATTCTTATATCATATGGCAATTGCTTATGTAGTGTTTTTCCAACTTTTGTCCAAAGTGACTGCCATTGTCCCATATCCACCAGTACCATATGAGTGACCAAGTTCTCTGCATCCTTGCTACACTTGGTGCTGTCACTATTTTTTTATTTCAGTAATTCCAGCAGGTATGTGGTTTTGATTTGTGTTTCTACAATAGTTAAATGTTAAACTTCTTGCCATGTGATTATTTGCCATATGTGTGTCCTCTTCTGTGAAATGTTTCTTCATATTTTTTCCTCATTTTCTAATTGGATTTTTTTAACTGTTGGGTTTTTAAAAATTGTCATATAATTCATATATACACAACTCATCCTTTTAAAGAGAACAATTCAGGGTTTATAGATTATTCACAAAGTTGTGCACCTATTACCATTAGCTAGTTCCAAAACATTTTTATCACTCAGAAAGAAACTATACCCAGCAGCTTTTACTCAATTCTATTCCATTCTTCCTCCAGCCCCTGGAAACCCCTCACCTCTTTTCTCTTTATATGGATTTACCTGATCTGGACATTTCATATGAATGGAATCCTATAATGTGTGATCGTTTTGTCTAGCTTTTTTCACTTACCATGTTTCCAAGGTTCATTCACATTGTAGCATGTAGCAGTACCTCATTCCTTTCAATGGCTGAATAATATTCCACTGTAAAATCTACCATATTTTGCTTATCTATTCATCACTTGATGGTATTTGGGTTGTCTCACTTTGGGCTATTATAAATAAGACTGTTCTAAGCATTCTTGTGCATGTTTTTATACATTTCTTTTCCACCTAGGAGTGTAATTACTGGGGTCATATAATAACTCCATTTTTATCTTTTCAGGGGAACTACCAAACTATTTCCCAAAGCAGCGGCACCAGTAGTATATCATGGTCCCGCTTTTTCCAGGTTCTTGCTGACACTTGTTATTGTCTTTCTTCCTATTACAGTTCATCTTAGTGTGTTTAAGGTGATAGGATTTTCTAAATTATTAATGATGATGAGCATCTTTTCAAATACTTACTAGCCAATTGTTAATCCTCTTTAGGGATATATCTATTCAAATATTTTGCCCAGTTTTAGTCATTTGCATCTTTACTATTGTGTTCTAATGTTTCTTTTATATATTCTGGATGCTCATACTGAACAGATGTACAGAAAAGTTTTTCCCATTATGCATTGTTGCCTTTTCACTTTATTGAGAGTATCTTTTGAAATACAAGTTTTAAATTTTGGTAACGTCCAATTTATCTCAATTTTTTATTTTAGGGTAAAATTTACACCTATATTTTTTCTAAGAATTTTATAATTTTAGTTTTTATAGTTAGGTCTTTGATTCATATGGTGTGGGTCTAAATTCATTCTTTTACAATCTTTGACAGTACTTCTTGCAAAGACTCTTCTTTCATTGAATTGGCTTGGTGCCCTTTTTGAAAAAGCAGTCTTCATAAATGTATGAATTTATTTCTGGACTCTCAATTCTATTCCATTCATCTATATATCTGCCTTATGGCAATACTACAGTATCTTAGTTATGACCACTTTGTAGTGATTTTGAAGTCAGGGAGTGTGGGTCCTTCAACCTTGTTCCTTTATTCAAGATTATTTTAGCTATACTTGGCCCTGTGCATTTTCATGCAAATTTTAGGATCAGCTTTTCCATTCTTGCAAAAAAAGAAGCTGGAATTTTGATAAGGATTGCACTGACTCCACAGTTCAAATGGTATGAAATCTTCTGATCCATGAATTTGAGAGGTTTTCACATTTTTTGAGGTTTTCTTTAATGTCAATTTAATGCAATTTTGTACACTGAAAAGCATACAGGTCTTCTTTTGTTAAAATTTATTCCTAAGTGTTTTATTCTTTTTGAAATTATTGTAAGTGAAATCAATCATTTGTATAACTCTTATTTCTAATGTATAGATATACAACTCATTTTTGTGTATCACTTTTATATCCTGCAATCTTGCTGAACTCATTTGTTAGCACAAATTTTGTGTGTATTTTTTTTTTTAAAGCAACTCCTCTGCCATTCCCAGCTTCCTTACTGTGTGATGTTTCTTCACTCATAAGTTGAAGAGAAGTTCCTGGTTATCCACTGGCTTCCATATTGGAAACACCTGGAGAGTTTTAAAAAACACAGCTACCAGAGTCCCACTCCCAGAGACCTTGATTTTATTAGCAGGGGTATAGACTGGACAGGGGAGTTCTAAACATCTGTTTGGGATGAGATGATCTGGAGGTGCAAACATTCCTCCAAGGAGGAGCTGTTACCTGGATGCCTGCTCAGAGAAGGCTGTCGTAGGGCCATGGGAAGAGCTGCTCCTGGCACTTGACAGACCTAGCTCGATCCCAGGCATGTGCTTCTGCCCAGGCCACCATCTTATCCCTCTCTACTCCATTCCCTTGCTTTTGAAGGGAGGACTAAAATCCTCACTCACTCAAGGATTCTGCCTATAGAGGTGGCTTAGGTCGAGGTGGTTTCTTTACACATGGAATGAATGGTGATTATTGTTCTTTTTTGATCAAAGAGCCAGCCCCTGGGCAACAAAGTAGAAATGGAGATTGTGAGCATGTTGGAAAAAAACGCAACGCTTCTCAAGTTTGGATACCACTTCACCCAGCAGGGGCCCCGGCTGCGGGCATCCAACGCCATGATGAACAACAACGACCTTGGTGAGTAGACATCTGCTTTCTGCCCTGCCCACCTGCTGGTCCTTCCCTCTGTCTATGTGGAATAGTTAGGGCGAATCCTGCTGACCCCCTCTGAGGGTCTTCTGGAGCACGCCTCCTTTTTTCATGCTGGTCATGTCTTCCTATTTTTCTGTTTGTGGCTCCTGTTCTCACCTAGACGGAGTTCTCTGGTTTCTGGAGCCAGGGCTGAGTCCCTCCTATCCACCCCACACCTCAGCACAGGCTGAGCCCAGCATACATCAGCATGCTGGCCAGAGGCAGTGAAGTTTGGGGGGCACAGGCTCAGCACGGGTCTTTTCCTCTCTGAATTCCTGGAGTCCTCTCCAGATCACACTGTCTGGCTTTATCCCAGGTTCCAAAGCTTCCAACCAACACGACTACCATAACCCTGAGCCTAGAAGATTTTACACTGCTTTGAAGGAAAAGTTGTAAAGTAAAAGCAGCTTACATTCATCTAATCTCAGTTAAAGGCATAAATTAGGGCTTTTTTTTCCATAGAGAAAAATAAAGAAAATGTCAGTCTTTCTTGATGATGATCATCAAAAACATCAAGAGACACAAATAGATACACAAGATGAATGAATGAAAAGCTGGATGGATCATTCACTTCCTTCCAGGTGCCAATTGTTCACAAGCTCCATGGGTACTTATCTATTATGTATGTCCCTGCTGGCTGCTAAAAATCCTCAATATGGTGTATAATAAAGGGAGTCTGACTGACAAGACCACAGGAAAATAGAGGAAAAATACAAATCTAGCAGTGAGTCTGCATTGTTAACAGGGCTGATCATCATATGTGGCCCCAAAGTTCGTAAGATCACAACAGGAAAAAGACAAACCAAGTTACATTTACATTAATCTTACAACAAGTTATATTAATCTTACAGCAGAAGTAAAGGAAGAGTGAGTGTTTTTAAAAAGCTTCTTTCTGGGTGAAACCAGGGAATAAGTGTTTTAAAGGGCAGTGTCTTCAGTGAATTTTTCATCAAATTCACACCTGCTCTGCCCAGGTTCTTTCTAGTTTCCAGTCCTCAGTAAAATGCAAAGAGCCGAAACCTGAGGTACAAGTCACAGCCCAGGTATGTGGCTTCCTGGTGATGATGAGGCAAGATCAGTGTGAAGGAGAATGGAGAGTGTGTAGGCATGCAGGGGGCACGCCAGGGCACCACAGACCATGTGCGAAGATGACCACAGAGCTCAGGCACAACTCACACTGGGCACAGCTGTCGATCAAGTCCCTCATCTCCATGAACACCTCCAAGTGCTGTAAGAACGAACTGGGTTTTGAAGACACTGGTTCCTACTCTTTAGCATATCACACTCAGGGGCTGTTCATTCATTGCTCCCTCCAGAGGCCACTTTTTCTAAGAACCTCAGGTCTGGTCTCTTAGTTTACCTAAGAGAAAAGTGCCCTTGTTTGAAATTAAATTAGAACACACACAAATAACCAAGCATCATAATCATGATTATCATATCACAGAGGTGACGACTGAACTGAGTAGTTGAAGGCCCCCGTAGGACTGTGATCTGGCTGCAGACTTGGCATTTTAAAAGCCTCCAGTCTTATTCTAGAGAATAATCTCACATTTCCTCCTCCTAGCTAAAGATTAAGCTTCTTCCGTGCCCTTTAATGCCTGTTTCTGGGTTGATTCAGCTTCTGTCTTCCATAGTGTGATGGTCTAGAGATTTATCTTTTTTGATGATCAGAGGTCAGGGGTGCTGCAGGGGGCAGAATCATCTAGAAGCTGGACAAAGGACTGTGAGAATTCTCTCCCAATCCCGAGTCCAAAAGTCAAAACTCAGGGTCTCTCAGAAGCCATTCTGAGTCTAGAATGCTGGAACCTGAAGGGACGTAGGGCTCAGTCCCCAAATTATCTTCTGGAGAAACTGAAGCCTGGAGTGGTCAGGGGGATGGAGGCCCTGGCTCAGGCAGGTTACCAATTGTTAAGTTACAGCAAGCATTTCTGAAGACTTTGGTGTGCCCAGCACTGTGCCAGGTGACATTAGGGGCAGCAGAAAGGTCAGTTCTCTGATTCAAGAAGTTTTACAACCTTTTAGGGGAAAAAAGACTCAAAGCCATGCCTAAAAATCAAGAATGTCTCCAAACTCTGTCCAAACAAAGTGAGGAAATGATTTATGAGGCCAGACGCCAGTTAAGCAAAGCATCCTGATGGGGTAGGGCTTTAGCCAGCCTTGAAAGGAAGGGCTGGGTTGCTGGGGGAGGGCGGGAGGCATCCTTGCAGGGCTCTAGAAAGTGTTGGGACTGCCTACTAGGGTACTTAGGAAAGGCTGGGAGCCAGTCTACGGGGTGGCAGAGACAGGAAGATCTAAAGGGGTTGGAGGAACCGTAACAGGGAGTTAGGCCTAGAAGGGAAAATAGTCACAGAGAAGGAAGGGAAGAGTGTTCAAGCACGGGGTATAGCATGAGTAAACAGTGGGTGGTGTTCACAGGAGCAGGGCTGGTACATGTTGGGGAGGCTGGGGCCCCCTAAGCTCAGGCTGTTGGTAATGAAAGCAGGCGGAAGTGGGAACTGTGGCAGTTTGCTTGCAGGGGTGTCAGACAATAAAAATGGGCCTCTGGGTTATCCCAGGGAACTGTGTGCAGCTGCTCCCTTGGGGTGTCCCACAGACAGAATCAGAACCACATCATCTCAGAGATTACAGGCCACATTTGAAGTGCTAGCTGGCAATATCAATTTCTAGTTTTAAAAGCAAATTTGTGCCCATTTTCTAATTTTTGTAAGAGAAATGCTTCTGATTTCGATGGTGCCTTGGCTCCTGCCTGCACAAGAGAATCCTGATTCCCTTCCCAACACTGTCTTCCTCCTTGCTTTCAACCTGTGATCTTGCAGCCAGGCTTCCATGTTTTCAATTGGGTGCTTTTACCATGAAAGCCTCCTGTTGTCCTTAGGGCTCTGGGGGCTCAGCAGAGCTGCAGCAGGGAACAGAGCCAGGAAGGGAACAGGCCCCTCATGGGTCCCTGACACTTGGCCTAACTTGGGGCCTTGGGGCTTTGCTTGCCTGTGAGTAGGTGGACTTCTCCCTGGGGGATATTCGGTCTCCAAGGCTCCCAGGTCAGTCTTACTGCAGACAGGTGGGCTGCCTGGGACTCATGAGGTGCATTTTTGGTCTTTCTCCCACTGTGTGCTGATCTCTCAGGAGACTGTGTGGGTGGAGGACACCGAGGTGGAGTGGATATCAAGGAGCAGCTGAGCTATGGACCTGCGTTTCTCACAGCAGTGCCTCAGATGACTCCTGTCTCCACTCTATTTATAGCTAAGGCCAGGCCAATGTGGACCCCAGGCCCTCTAAACCTGCCACTGGAGCTCTTTCCACTTAACAAAATCTGAATTGCAGCCTCCAAGTTAAGGCAGCGGTAGAGAGGGGATAACATGTTCAAAAGCAGAGAACGTCCTTCCCCGGAAAGTTGTTCATCCGCTGCATTCTGAAGGAAGCCCCCCCAACCACTTTTTATTTTTTAACTTGTTCTTTTTAGTTATACATGATAGTAGAATGTATTTGGACATATCATGCATACATGGAGTACAACTTCCCATTCTTGTAGTTGTACATGATGTGGAGTTACATGGGTCGTGTATTCATATATGAACACAGGAAAATTATGTCCGACCCATTCTACTGTCTTTCCCATTCCCAAGCCCCCTCCGCCTTGGGTGTCCAATCCAGTGACACCCCCACCTATTGTAAGTCAGCATTTGCATATCAGAGAAAACAGTCAGCCTTTGTTTTTTTGGTATTGGCTTATTTCACTTAGCATTCACTTATGCACAAATGCCATAATTTCTTTTTTCTTTATGGCTCAGTAATATTCCATTGTGTATATATACCATGTCTTCTGTATTCATTCATCTGTTGAAGGGCACCTAGGTTGGTTCCATAGCTTAGCTATTGTGAATTGGGCTGCTATGAACATTGATGTGGCTGTATCACTATAGTATGCTGATTTTAAGTCTTCTGGGTATATGCGAAGGAGTGGGATAACTGGATCAAATGGTGGTACCTTTCCAAGTTTTCTGAGGAATCTCCATACTGCTTTCCAGAGTGGATGTACCAATTTGCATTCCCACCAACATGAGTTACCTTTTCCCCCACATCCTCACCAACATTTGTTACTTGTGTTCTTGATAACTGCCACTGTGACTAGAGTAAGATGAAATCTCAGAGTAGTTTTAACTTGCCTTTCTCTAATTGCTAGAGATGTTGAACATTTTTTTTTCATATATTTGTTGACCATTCATATTTCTTCTTCTGTGAAGTGCCTGTTTAGTTCCTTTGCCCATTTATTGATTGGGTTATTTGTTTTGTTTTTGGTGTTAGGTTTTTTGAATTCTTTGTATATCCTGAAGATTAGTGCTCTACCTGTGGTACAGGTGGCAAAGATTTAAGGAAGCCCTAACAAGCACCCCAAACAGTGCAATAACAAGCACCCTGAAACCAGTTTTTAAAAGTTTGATTATAAATTCACAATATATGATTGTATATAATTATGGGGTACAAAGAGGTGTGATGATTTAGGAATATGAAGTAGAATAATGAAATCGAGCTAGTTGACCCATCACTTGTCATACCATTTTTTTTACAACATTTGAAATTCATGATCTTAGCAATTTTGAAAGGTACAATACATTACAAAAAGTATATTCACCAAGATGTGTAATAGGTCTCAAACAAACAAAAAAGTCCAATTCCTTCTGAGACTTCAGGCCCCTTGGCCATCAGCCCTTGTCCCTCCTGCTACCCTACAGCTTTTGTAACCATCATTCTACTCTCCACTTTTGAGTTCAATTGTGAGAACATATGGGATTTATCTTTCTGTGCCTTGCTTATTTCACATAGTGTAACATGTTCAAATTCCATACATGCATGCATGGCAAATGGCAAAATTTCATCTTTTTAAAGGCCAAACAATATTTTGTGTGTTTGTGTGTGGGTGTGTGTGTGTGGGTGTGTGTGTGTCCATCCCACATTTTCTTTACCCTTCATCATTTGATGAAATTTTAAGATGATTCTGTACTTGGCAATTAGGAGTAGTTCTGCAAGGAACATGGGCATGAAGACAACTTTTTGACAAACAGATTAAAAATCTTCTGGGTAAATACCCAGAAGTGGGATTGCTGAATCCCAAATCAATTTCTTCATATTCCCCCATAACCATCTCAGGAAAAGAGTACTACCTTCCCCACAATCACCCGTGCCAGAAATCTGGACCTCTTCTGCCCTGACTACTGCCAACCAGTCACCTCCTCACTGACCCCAACACTGGCCTCTCATGGAGCCCCATCACATTAGCTTGGGCTCTGGCAACTTCTTCAGCCTCCAGCTCCTGCAGGCAGCACTTATCCCAAAGCTTGCCACCCTATTCTCCTGCTTCGAACTCTTGCTGGGCTCTCACTGTTCCCAGGCTCAACTCCTTCAAGTGGCTCCCACAGCCCTAACATGACATAACTGTGTCAGGCACTGTTCTGAAGACTTCCCACCTTACAAACTATGTTGTCCTCCCCTCTACCACACGCTATTATCATCCCTGTTTTTGCAGTAAGGAAACAGGTCTGCAGAAGTACAAAGTATATCCCATGGTTCATGGGCAGACCTGGGATTGGAACTAGCAGTCTGTGTCCAGAGCTGTATTCTGGAACTCACTGGAGACCATCCCATCAGGAGGCCTGGCCTTGCCTTGCCTGATGAGGTCCTGCCAGACTCAAGCCATCCTCTTGCCATGCTATACCACCCATTCCAGGTACTTTGTGTGCCCCCAAGTGACTCAGAAATAAGCTTAAAAGGGTCATTACTCCTAATGCCATGTACCTTTCTTATCCTCTGCCATTTCATTCTTTACGATTCAACTGACCTGTTACTGCCCATCCTGGGAAGGTTGTAGCACTCCATTAAAGTACCTTTCACATCTCACAGTACTATGCTGGAGAAACTGTAAATTTTTCTGTTACTATTGATACATTTTGGCCTGTTACACTGTATCATGATCATAAGAGCACTCAGTAAATGTCACTGAATTACATAAATGAATAGAAAGTGCTTCTTAAGGACATCAAAGACATGATTGGCAAGTTCAATTGGCCAAAAGTGGGAGTTTGGCAGCGGGATGGGGGTGTTCCTGGTAACTTGAGATTGCTTCTGGATCTGACAATCAAAGATTCTCTGGTTGCTGTGATGACAGGTAAGGAGGAGTTTAAAGAAAGCCTTAAGATTGAGTTAGAGGATATTGAAGGTCTTGGCTTTGACCCCCAGCTGTCACTTAATCACTGTAACTTGGGGCAAGTTACTCCCCTCTCAGCCTCATCATTAAAATGGAAAAAATAATACCTGAATAAACAGGACTCCCTCCTTTCTCCAATGCTCCAAGTCTGTGCCTATGGATCTAGACCAGTACTGAGGGCAAAAAATAGAAAAAAAAAAAAAAGTATATGGGTCCCTTTTTATACCCACAGCCATGGGCTAGGGATTTGTTTTTGTCCAGGCTCCTCCAATGGCTCTTCTCCAGGAGAAGGGAGCTGGTCTTCCTTGTGAGAATCAGATGAGACAGGGATATGTAAGCTCTTTGTTGATAAGGCCAAGTTGTACTGAGGGAAGAAGTGCTAGATGGACTCAAGATGAGTCACAAGCCACAAACATGCACTCTCTGCCACACTTTCATCATCTGTAAAATGGGGATGGCATGAACATCGCAGGATTGCTGGAGGGGCTTCAGTGGGCTGTGAAGTGTGAGGCCAGAGGACAGCCCTGCTGGGTTTGCTGGTAGCTAACTTGGTGATGCTTCAATGGCTGGTTCATAGAAACTCTGTTCGCTTTGGACAAATTTCTTTTTTTATTTTTAGGACTGGAAATTGAACTCAGGGCACTCAACCACTGAGCCACATCCCCAGCCCTATTTATTTGGAGACAGGGTCTCATTGAGTTGCTTAGTGCCCTCACCATTGCTGAGGCTGGCTTTGAACTCACAATCCTCCTGCCTCAGTCTCCCAAATTGCTGGGATTGCAGGCATGTGCCACCATGCTCGAACAAATTTCTTCTTTTTAGGTTTTGGCTTTTGTTTCCCTACATCTATTCCTAAGCTAACAAGACACTGATCACCTTCAGGAATTGGGCTGAACACAGTGTCTTTTCCCAGAGAGATACTGCTTGCATCCTGATTTTGCATTGCTTATTCTTTTGACCTGGGATAAAGGGGAGTACGTAGGGGCTCAGACACAGGCTGAACTCTAGGCTCCACACCGAGCACCTGTATTACTGAGAACTTCCCCTCCAGCTCCCAGCCAGGTCTTGAACAACATACCTTCTTGTGGGTCTGCTTTATATACTCAGGGTCATACACAGGCCAATTTGGTTCTTTTTGCAGTTTGTATGCCCCACTATGTTAGACACACATCGACCATCTAAGCTTGGGAAAGCATCTAAGTATATAAACGTATTCCCCCTGGGCAACAGCTTCCTGCCACATCAGCATGCCCCTTGACTGATACCTACCAGTCTACCAATTTACTAGACCTTTCTTTCTCTGATGGCTGATAGTTTAATGCTTGGTCTTCAACTGCCAACACTAGACATCAATCCATCATTCTCTAAGCTTGCAAGCTCCTGGATAGTGGTGCTTTCCTCTTAATGTCATGGAAACAGTGTTGAATAAAAATTGCCTTGCTCCTGGGAAATGTTAAAAATGTCACTGTTAAACATAAGGGACACAGATACTGCAGGAAATCTTCAGGGTGGAAACTTGTTTATACAGGCAAGAGGTGGGCACAGCTGCTAACTCTGCCTGCTAACAAAAAATAAGCGAGAGGCTTCAGAAGTGACAGTGGTGGTCCCTAGTGCACAGGCACAAGTGGCTTAAGTCTTATCTCCATTCCTTTTCAGTGAGGAAGAGGAGGCTCGCAGACTTGACGGGGCCCATCATTCCCAAGTGCCGCAGTGGTGTCTAGGGTGTGGAGGTGAAGACCACGCTGCTGAACTGGACGTGTTCTACTGACAATCCGCACCTTGCAGTGCAGACCAGGAGGCAAATGCTGGCACAAAACTCTTTTGTGGTTCAGTTCTTCATGCACTAAGGGTCTAGGTGAACTAGTGGTTGTAGTTGAAAATTTTATAAATTGTGGTTAATGTGAAGTTTTTCTTTAGTCACAGAAGTTCAGTCTGGTTATTATTTAAAAACTAAGAAGCCCTCAAATTGGCAGATCTTCCTGTAGATGATTTGACAGTGGCAGTGACTTAACCCCAAGGAGCCCAGATTGGTGGCCCTGCTGTGTGGTATTTCAGGTTCATTTACAATGTGGAACCCATAAACTAAAAATGCACTCTTCTACCTGGTTTGCAAGTATTAAATACTTTATTACAAATTTCATCTTAGCTATTTAGCAAAAGGAACAAATAAACACTCTTTATTAATCCTCCTTTAAATTTTAAAAACTTCAAGATTATAAGTTGCCAAATTGATTACTGGATCAGAGCCACAATTTTCCCCTTAAGAATACAAACCGAAGCCACAGAGCTCTGCCAGGAATCAAAAAACACCAAATTCCTTTTGCTGGATATGAAGTTAAAAAAAAAAAAAAAAAAGCAATGGTGAAATTTGAAGTTTCAAAAACCCTCCTGGGCAACAAACATATTCCTGAGTTACTTACGAACATTTGAGATGTATGTACAATTGAATACTGGAGCAGAAAGAAGTTTTTCCTCATTGAATGCCAACCTTATGACAGATGTGAGAACTTCTGGCTAAATACTTGAAAACACCTTTCTATACAGCATAGTGGGCAAATGGCTCATGAAAGGCCAAACACTAGAGGGGTGAATTTCCAGTCCACTGTGGATATGATGCTTATTATTATGGCCAACCTTACAGACTTAAACTACCTATCTCATCATTTATTAGACAAATCATTGAAGATCTCATGCATATAAATGAAGCCTCTGAAGGACAACAGTGCAGAAAACTTAAGATATTAAAGAACTGGGAAATCCTGGCCAAGCTATGAAAAGATGATTATTCTTAAAACATAATCTTGGTATTTCTACTGGACCTTTGCCCCTCTTTTTTAACAACATGGCATCTTTTGGGAGTTGGCAAAAAGGTTAAGCCACATTGCCCTTGTGCCTTTTAATATACCACAGTGCCAGTTAACTTACATTTTTGTTTGTTGCTTTGGGGAGTTATTTTTATTAGGGATTCAGCAAATCTTGTGATAAAGGACAAGGCCAAAGAGCTAATGAACACAGACTAGGAGGCTTCTGATGAAGAAGGAAAAATCTTGTGCACTGAACTGTAGAGATGTGGACAGTACAGGGTAACTAGAGGTGGAGCCAGGGCCTCACCACTATGAAGAGTGTCTACTGCGGCTGCAAATGGGCCCAGGAGCGGCACCATGCTGCAGGGATGGCCATCCCCACTCGGCTTCTCCTTGAAACACAACTGCAGCTGCATTCTGCATCACTGGAAACTGCAACATAATATTAAATCTGTTGGTCAACTTGTGGCTGTGTGTTTCTTGGGACCCATGTGACAGGGACATGTGCCTGGCATGCTGACCAGAAGGCTGGACAGCCACTGTGGTAGTACTGAATGATCTCATTAAGAAAGCGAACTGTGTTCCAGGTACTGATCTAGAAACTGCTCCTAAGATGCCAGTGCCATCGAGCCTCTCTGGATCTCTCAGAGATAACATTTAAAAGCTGAGAGCGTAAGTACTGGAGGAAGCAGGCCTGTGAGGAGAAATCTCACAGAAACCAAATCAAGTAAATTATGAAGCTTGGGCCATACCTTTAAGGGCATCTCCATCAGATGAGCTGTTGCTCTAGACCAGGGGATGGCAAACTTTCCTATAAAGGGCCAGGCAATAAATATTTTAGACTTTGTGGGCCCATGGTCTCTATTGCAGCTATTCAGTTGTGCCCCAGATCCTATAGGAAGAAGTAGGTATGTAGGTCTTTTCTGATAAATTTTACAAAAGCAGGAGGTGGGCCAAATGCTAGTATTGAGATCTTCTCAGGCAGTCAGAGAAGAGACAGAGGCAGGGAAGGGGAAGATGGCAGATGACCTAAGTGGCCTGGTTTAGGAACCCATTTTGAGGGCCCAAGATTCACAGTTTTGCCCCAGGATGGACACGTTTGCTGACAAGGGCAATGACTACTAATAGCCTGCTGCATGGCAGAGAGGGCATGAGTGACACAATCACCAGGCATAAGACTATGCCTCACAAGCTTTGGGATTCCATCAGCTTACCCATCTTCCATCTACCACCTTCTGAAATAGAATGCTTCAGTAAGTGATGAAAATTTGACTCTCTCCCTTGCCCCTGTGAAGTGTAGGTGGTCAACATGATGGTGACCAGTGTGCCACAATGGCACTGACCAACAGTGAAGTTCCTGATTTCTGTTTCTGTAGCCTTGACAATCTCTTATACAAAGTCACCCCACTGACTTTGAGAAGGCTTGGGGAATGCTAAAAGTGTCACTTACACAAGCAAAGACCCATCCTCACCAACACTGGGCTCTGGTGCAGGGTTCACAGAGAGTTGCGCATGCTGTGAGACTTCCCTTGGGATGCGTGGCCTTCGGGCTGTACACTCACATTCCTCTTTAAAACTGTCCTGGGTAGGGCCTGAAGCCTGCCTGTCCCCTTTGTCTTGACATGTGACACAACAGGCTGTGAATCCTTGTCCTTGACAGGCAGGACAGATCAAAACAAGCTGGCGGCATTGGGGAGTGGAGCAGAGTTTATACTGGTCCCACTGGGCTCCACAGTATGAACATTCTAGGTTCAGAAAGAAAAGCCCTTATTATACACCCACACATAGACATGTACTTCTCCAGTTCCTAAATATAACTCTGAGCTCACCCGTATCTAATACATCCTGTTGAGCCAGGGAAGGCTTCTAAATAGTACATCTCTTATCTTCAAACAAAGAAAATGCTGCCCCCTTACTTTCTTAGGAGTTTTGAGGAAAGGTTGTTGTTGGGAATTATCTTTCTGATGCTAGCACTTACTGATCTATTTTTCTTTATCACATCTAGAAAAACAGGCCACAATGTTTCTCTTTTTCATTAGCTACTCCCAAAGTTGGACAACCAGCCCTTATTCAATGATCTTTTCCCTTAGAACACTTTTCCAATGGGGATATTCAGATGACTCCACATCTAAATTCAACTTCTGCAGTGTATACCATTCTCCCCGAGGCCAGAGTTTCTCTGGCTGCTACCAGAACACCTAACTACCTAATTCCTAGACAGCACATTATCTTCCTTCTCGGCTTGTTTTTCTCTGCTGACTTCCTGACACCACTGACACCAACCTTCCTCAAGTCTCTCACCTTGCTTATCTCTGGGCCTTTTCAGGTAATTAGTATCGGCCTGCCTTCCTGCAGCAATGATGAACTGGGAATGTGCCACACAGTATGGGCGTCTGCACTTGTGGTGACCTACCTGATAACACATCACTGTTATAGCACAGGGCATAGCGCTCATCAAAAACAAACAACTTCCCCTTGTAAAAACCATCAGGAAACTCTTCCAGGTACTTGTGGATACCACCCTTGAGCTGGAACACTTCCTTACACACTCCCTAGGAACAGAAAAAAAGGAAATCTGAAGAAACAAGCAGAGACCTAGAGGAAGATCCACAGAGCAGTGCCAAGTGCCCAAGTGGAGGATTCCCCACCTCTGCTATCTATCAGGGCTCCTTGCTCCCCCTGCAGGACAGAGGAATTGCTAACCAAAGGGTAAAGGAACCAACTGGCCAGACCTCGCCTACTGGGGGGAGGGGGAATGGGGGGATGGGTGATGACAGCAGTCGGCGCCTTCACCCTCTAAGATCCTGGGAAGCCCAACTATTTTTGCTACCCCCTAAATATAGGAAGACATCTGCTGGGGCATGTGATATTACTGAATTTGCTCTTCTCAGGATCAAGCAAAAGGATTAGGAAAGTGGAGATGTTGAACTAAGCTTTCTCTTTTGTACTTGATGAGTCTCTAAGACTGTTAAGTGTTTTTCTCATCTTGAGATTTAAGAACCTCAGATTTTGCACTTGGAAACTCTATGCTGGAACCATACAAGGGAAAAACAAATCCTTTGGCTGGCTGGAGGGTGGGAGAGGACTGGGAAGGGGTGGAAAACACCACACAGGCTGCTGGTAGAGACTTTGTCACCTCCATGTTGGCAGCATCTCCAGGGCGGTAGCTCACCTTGGCCTTCAGGTAGGCTGAGCCGCGCTCACATCGGATGCCCCCAGTGCAATACATCAGCACCCTTTTTTCTCTGAAAAGTTCTAGATTTGTGTCAACATAGCTAGGAAAATAACTGAATTTCCTGATGTCTGGGGCTAAGCAGCCCTGGAATCGCCCCTACAATGTAGAACAGCAGAAGGAAAATTTTCAGAAAAACATACCAAAAGTTCTCTATATCAACAATTCCCATCCTTGGCAAAGAGCATTTGCCAGTTGCTCTTCTCATCCCAAACTCTGACCTTTTAACCTCAAATCTGGAACTAGAAACAAGGCTGGCAGGCTGTAGATGACCTTCCTACTGAATCCACAGGGGAACTGGAGAGGCTACCCAAAGTCAACTTTATAAGATCATTGACACATGTCAGAAGAGTCAAAAAGTACATTATTTGCCAAGAGGTCTTTAATTCATATATTCTTAGACATTCTCACCAGATTCTAAGTGAAAAGGCTTGGATTTTCTTTGTAGCTGCTAGTAATGGAAGGTGATTTGTGTGGTCAGTGGTTCCCCTTGGGAAATATCCCATGCCACAGGAAGGGGGAGATTTACCTATACTATTCACTAAATTCGATTCTGGTTGTTACTTACTATTTTGCTTTCATAAAAGTTCCTGCAGTCCAGTAGGATAGTATCACTTTGTTCTTTATCTGCCTGAGATAAAAATTTTTCTACTTCTTTATGAAATTCACCTGGGGATAAATGGATTCCTAAAGCCAAACCAAAAAATTATGTTAAAACAACAACAAAAGGAAACACCTAATCACAACTTACGTAGCTTGAATTTTATGTTGGCTTTGTTTCTTTCCACCCAAACCTCTTTTCCCCATAATGACAGACTCCAAATAATATTTGATAATCATAATAATGATAAAATAATTTAGTGAGGCCTTCATCTTCCTCCTCCTAAGAGGACTACAGAGAGCAGGTAGGTTAGAAATAATTAGCTGAAGAAATTTGCTCATACTTGGCCTAATCAAGTGATAAAACCCATGTAACTGGGATCTATTTGGGTTTGCTCATTCATTGTATGCTCACTAGTGAGTGGGTCAGGAAATGGCCACTGTTCTATTGTCACTGTGCATGAAGGAGCTCTGGAATATATGTGCTTGATTGTAGGCTACAAACAGTTTTATACCAAGGCTGAATCCAAGTTCAAGGATAAGAACCTTGGCTTAGTCCACTGAAAACACTGAAATTTTGAAAATAAAGTTAGAATATGTCTTTTAAAAATGCAAAAGGGAGGGGCCAGGGTTGTGGCTAAGTGGTAAAGTGCTTGCCTAGCATGCATGAGGCACTGGGTTCGGTCCCCAGCACCACATAAAAATAAAAACAAATAAAGGTATTGTGTCCATCTACAACTAAAAAAATATTTTTTTTAAAAAAAATGCAAAAGGGTAAGAGGTAAGAAAAATGTGTCTAACTTTGTGTACATGATTAAGAGAGAAAGAGGTGGGAGGAGTTGATACAGGAATGACATATGAGAAAAGAAAGGAAAGAAAGAAATGGATAAGAAAGTGAGAAGATGGGTGAGTGGAGAAAAATATTAAAAACCAGGGGACTATAGGAAAGAACCTTTGCCTGTAGGATAGAAATATTCCATAACCTCGGGGATCCAGACATCAGAGTAGATGGTGGGAACTTTTGGTGAATTTGACATTGTAGGGTGATTATGACCCATGCAGGGATTCTGGTGACTTACCACCATTCACGATAGAGTTTTATAGCACTAAATAAGCCTCACTCTGCCCTATAAGCACCCGACAATGCTCTGTACCCTGGAGAGGCTAAAGGCCCCACAGCACAGCCAAAGAGCCTGTGTTTCTACTAGTCTAAACTAGGATTATAGGGAGTATGTAACCAGGCCAGATGCTATTTAAGTCAATGTCATATGACTGCATGGATACCAAAAGAGTGGGGTAAAAAAGGATATTAAAAAATGTGATGAGAAGTGTAGAAATTGGATAAGACTTCATCCTGCATGGAGTCACAGGGAACCTAAGCTGTTATTGCTGCTGCTATTATTGGTGTTGCATTACTGGCCCTGAGAATGCCTGACTGGATCATGATCTAGACAGACATGTTTCAAAGGTCCCTTTGAACAACTTAGTTCAAATGAAAGTAGCATGGCAAGGCATGGAGCCCACTCTTCCCTGAGCTCCTGAGCAGCGCCCTGTAGCACCAAGAAGAGCTTTTGTTGTTGGCATGGTGCTTTCTGTTAAGATGGGGCCACCAAGTAGACACAACCCTGTTTGGCTCTTATCTTCTCATGTAAGAGTTGTCTTCTCCAAGATGCTGGTATCTTACTCCCACATTTCCCTCTGCCTTGACACTTAGCCTTCTTTTAAATAATGTGCATATTGAAAAATGAACACCTTAGAGTCAAGTGCCCTTTGCAATTCCAATGAAAGAAGGCAATACTACCTATGGAGTAGTCTTGTGGGGTGGAGAAAGAAAAGAAAGGAAAAAAGTAAGAAACTGAATCTGATCGTATCTGGTCCTGACTTAACATGGTAGCCACTGTACCTCTAGCTGACAAGCACTTGAAATGTGGTTTGAGACGTGCTAATAAGTGTGACATACATACTGAACTTCAAGGACTTGGTATTAAAAACAAAAAACTGGGGCTGGGACTGTAGCTCAGTGGTAAAGCGCTTGCCTGGCTTGTGAGGCACTGGGTTCGATCCTCAGCACCACATAAAAATAAATAAAGATATTGTATGTCCACCTACAACTAAAAAAATATTAAAACAAACAAACAAAAAAACTAACTGAAGTTGAAATCAATATTTTGAATATAGCACAGTAATACAATAAAATATTAAATTAATTTTAACTTTTTACATGCGTAGCTACCACAAAATTAAAAATTGTATTATGTGGCTTGCATAATTCTATTAGCACCATTCTAAATCTAATTACCAATTTGTAGGAAATACTGGAAACAGAGGAAAATTCCATGGGGATGCAATTAAAATTATCTGGATGAGAAACTCTATAGGCCAAATGACCTAGTTCCTTCAAAAACTAAATGGTAAGGTGGGAAAAAAAGATGGAGGTGAATTTATAGATTTAAAGACACTTATAGAGGCACATTGATGAAATCACAATGAATGGGTCTCATCTGAATCTTAACAGAAATGTAACAAATAACAATACACTGGGAACTAATTAGGTATTTGAAATATTAAGATATTACCATTAAAATGTTTTAGGTGTCACAATAGTATTACTTTTTTTTTTTTTTTCCAAACTTTGTCTTTTATGATTGAAATGACATGGCATTGGTATTTCCTTCAAAAGGATGGGAGGGGGCTGGGGTATAGAGAGAAGCTGGCCATGGATTAGTAATTGCCAAAGCTGTGTGATAGCACACGGAAGTTTGCTATACTATTTTCTCTACTCTTTAATGTCTAGAAATTTTCATAACAAGTAAAATAAAATACATTTTAAAATCCCACAAAATAAGTATCTTTCAACCATCCATAGGACAAAGGAAAGGGAGAAAGGAACATTCTAAAGCATTGTAGACTGCTTTGGTATTGAAAGCCACTTGGTTTCTGTGGCAAAAAGTGCGTGCTCTATTCTGCTGGTGAACTATTTATAAGTAATTACACTCTTCACAAATTGCTGTCTTTGAAAATAAAAAACAACTTCATGGCTAAAAATAATAATAAGTAATTCTAAGGGGTGTGTTCCATAAGCACCACAGAGAAGACCCAGGTTGTGAGCTAACTCAGAGCTGTTTTAAAGAGAATATTCATCAAGACTCTTGCTGATCAGTGTCTAACTTTCCTATTAAATTTTGCCCCTATGACAAAAAGCATAACTCTACTTTTAAAAATAAGCATACCAGGCTTCTTGTAGGAGATCTTATAGGGGCTGATCCCCATGGGCACAATTTCTTCAAATACACCAACACGCAATTCTGGAAAACAGTGAGCTCCTCCTCTGCTGATCTAGACAAAGAGAAACAAAAAAGAATACAGTCTTCCTATATCATCACCAGGTCTAAGTACTAAATGTAAATATTATGGTTTGTTGAAGTCTTAAGAAACCTCAAATTAAAACAAAGATTAAGAAACTACAATGGGCATAGAGTTAGGCCCAGAATGTTCCAGATAATTCAAAATATTAATAAATAGTTATTGCATATCTCTCATGTGCAGGAATGTTATGTTCTATGGGTATGGGCATTTAACTATAAAACTGAAGAACCCCTGAGCAATTCCCAATGTGTGATTACACCCCAGCTGCTAGTCTGGAGCAATGACTTCTTTTTCTATTGTCACTAGCATGAACACTTCCCAAGGCATTTCCCATCATCTTATTATCTATTGTGATGAAGCATAAAATCACTCAAAAACTGCTCTACTTCTCTATGTGGTGTGAAGTGTCAATCTTAATTTTAGGTTTACTAAAAACATAGTAAAATCAAAATGATCTGCTCAAACAGATAGTCCCACAAATGAATGAACACATCCACATTTTAGAGTCAAACTGTGTAAGAGTAACATCTTTATTGTGTAAAATTGGAGACTGAAAAGAGGGCTCAAGGTAACATGGTGACTCATTGGAAGAATGGAGATAGGAATTCTCCTTCTATTACACTGTCTTATAACTTAAAGGGAAAAGAGAATTTTTCTGGCTCTGTTTATTTCTCTACATTGGTCTCCTCTTCAATAACCTACACTGAGACAGAAGGAGAAAGCTCTAGATCCATTTCATTTTCAATTTTTCTTACCTTAAAATCTTCCTTGCAAAGATAATCCTTAAATAATGGATAAGAAAGCATGGCTTCCACATAGAGTCTGGTGGCCAACTTGCTTCCTCCAACTGTCCCATTGATTCCTTCAGTAGCAATTCGAATCTGAGAAACAAGATGTTGAAAAATAGGGATCAAAGCATGTTCTTAGTTATTCTTCCAGGATAGAATGAAATGATCTTGCATATCAATGAGTTTAACAGGATACGCAGAGAGCTTCTGTGGACACTGAAGTATTACTGAACAAAGGTACCCATGTTTCTATAAAATGGCACAGCCTGTAGAAGAGGCAAGGTATTTAGATCATGTATGCTGAACAAGACAATGTGAATAAAACTCCTGGAAAGTCCATTTACAGTAGGAGCTCCAATCATCCAATGGCCAAACAAGTGAATTCTGAGCTTAACCTAAACCCAGGAAGTATATTAGAGTCAACAGATCAAGATTTAACTCTGCTACTTACTTGCCATGTAGCTCTAAAAGAGTTAAATGACTTCTCTGAACTTCAACATATTTTTTATGTTTCATATTTGAAGTATGCAGTTTGGGCAGTTTTGACATGTATGTAACCAATACAATTAATATAAAAAGCATTTCCATTATTCAATTCTTCATGTTGGTAAAAAGAGAATAAAAGAATACCAAAAATGGTGGCGCATGCCTGTAATCCTAGCTGCTTGGGAGGCAGAGGCAGGAGGATCATGAGTTCAAAACCAGCCTCAGCAATTTAGCCAGGCACTAAGCAACTCAGTAAGAACCCGTCTCTAATAAAATACAAAATAGGGCTAGGGATGTGGCTCAGTGGTGGAATGCCCCTGAGTTCAATCCCTGTACACCACCCCCCCAAAAAAAAACCCACCAAAAATGATTAAAATAAAACAAAACAAAAAAATCTGAGGAGATATTACCTAAAGCACAGAGAATACCTAAGGGCAGGGAATGAATGCATGTATCATCTCTGCATGGCTCGGGGATGGTTGGGAGAAAGCCACCATCGCAAACCCACCCATTGGAATCCAAGTACCAAGGCGAGTGTGTGTCTCCTTTGTTTACTAATGTATCCCCAGAGCCTAGAATAGTACCTGCCACACAGTGGACATTCAATATATATCTGCTGAATAAATGAATGGGTATCTCATTTTTGGAGAAAGCAAGTACACACAAGTGGCTTTCACTATAGTATAGCATGAGGGTAAATAGGAACCTCCCGCTTGGACGACTGAACACTTTGCTTATGGTGGATTCAATAAGACCAGGCAACAGGTCTTTAGAAGCTCTCTATATTCTCTTTGGAATATTTCATTGATAAAGGGATAGGTCACCAGCATTCTCTGGGGGCCTTGCAGAGTTGGTTGTCTCAGTACTACAAAGTCTTGGCATGGCTACAAAATGGGATTCATCATACAATCGAATGCACTGGTAGTGGCTATCCATAGTTCCATGATTAAAATTCTAGATTACATCCAGATTTCTTAAAAAGTCTGCAGTCTAGTGCAGCTTATTCTGGGAATGTGCTATGGTTTGGATCTGGAATGTGCCTCAAAGGCTCATGTGTTGAAGGCCTGGTTTGCAGTGCAGTTATATTCTGAAGTGGAGCTTTTGGAAAGTGATTGGACATGAGGGCTCTGATCTCATCAAAGGATTAATTCATTGATGGATTCATAACTGAATGGACTACTGGGAGGTGACTGAGTGTTGAGATCCACAGCCTAGTCGGAATGGTGCCTAGCATATTACCAGAAGGAGTGGTTGAGAGGTGACAAGATGATGATAATTAAGTTAAGCTGTGTATAATTGCTGTGACTGGATGATGCTGGACTGAAACAGGCTGTCTATTCAGTTGTATATGGACCCCTGCTGTCCAGCAATAGGACGGCTCCTGCTGCCTCAGGCGCCTGCCTGCCTGTGGAGTTCTCCCAGAGTTCCCCTTGAGTTCCACTTGAGCTCTCGTGGGGATTCCTGGAGAGTTGTGTTGGTTGGTGAGGTTCCGGTGGAGGGAGTTCCAGTTGGTGTGTGGTGTTCCTGGAAGGGCCTCGTGGGTGGTGTGCACCAGAGTTCGGGCAATAAAGGAGTTCCTGTTTGAACCTACAAGTGCCTCGTGGCGGCTCGGTTATTTTGTGCCCAGCCAGACTGCGGCAATTGAGAACTGGAGAAGGGGCTAGTTGGAGGAAGTGGGTCACTGGGGATATGCCCTGGAAGGCTATTATCTGTCCCCAGCCTCTTCCTCTCATTCTCTCTCTGCTTCTTGGCTGCCATGCGGGTAAGCAATTTTCCTCCACTGTGCCCTTCTGCCAGGATGTGTGGCCTACCCTCAGGCCCCAAACAACGAAGCCAGCTGATCATGGACTGAAATACCTGAAACTATGAGCCAAAATAAATCTTTCCTTCTTTTTCTCAGGTTTTGTCACAGCAGCAAAAAGTTGACTAACACAGCATGGAATAGTGAAGCAGGAAGCATATGCCATCTCTGCTGACAGTTACTGTATTTACTACCAATTTACAGGGGACTACACAGAAAAATAGATTTGAATCAATGTAAGATCAGGAAATGCATTTCCAGAATAGTTTGAGACAGATAAGATAAAATACATACTTCTATATAGCTGTCTTTGAATGGGCTAGCAGATCCTTTCCTATTTTACTTTAATCTCAGAACCCAAATAAATGGCAAGCACATCTACTCCCCACATAATTAAAGCAGAGCAATTTTAAACTCAGGTGCTAGACTTTCAATCTCTAGGACTCTTCAACAAAAACCTTCAAAGGAATTCCTTGTTGAGACAGGCCTTATACCTATAGTATAAGTAGAAGTTAGTTATTAAGCACCCACTATGAGAAGGAGCTTTATATTATATTGAAAGGTAGATTTCATGATCCCCATTTTACAGAAAAGGAAGTAGAGGTTCAGAAAAATCAAATAACTTGTGAAGAAACTGGGGGGTGGGAGATCTGGGATTCAGAACCAGAACTTACTGGCTTTAAAACTTGTCCTTTGCAAAGTATCCAATGTACCTCCTCAAATTTCTTAATCCATATGGATGTACAATGATAAAGGCAGAAGCTTCTTTCCTCAATCCTAAAATTGTCAGGTTTTCTTTCCTTAAGTTCCAATCAATATTCTGCCAAATCTACCAAAACAGAACTCTAACTAAACTGGGCATGTATCCTTGAAGCATAAGAATTTGGACCTGAGATACAGGAAGATGGTGCCACCTTGTGTAGAGGATCCCTCACTGCTAGATTACTATTAGGTTGGACAGAGAATAAAAGTATGCCTCTACACCAAGAGAAGAGACTGATTTCATATACTGCACATTCTGTGAGAGTACCCAACTTTCAAGATGTTCTCTGAATAGATATGGTATATACGTTCATTCCACAATATCTACTAATTTTTTTTACTATGCATCAGAAATTGTGATAGGAAGAACAAAGTGGTTAAAAAAAAAATCCTTCCCCTCTTAGAGCTTGCAGACCAAGGAAGGTTAAAGATATGAAGATACTGAGTTATAAATGGACAAGTGATAAGAAAGTAACAATAAGATGCTACAAGGAGGATCGTGAGTTCAAAGCCAGCCTCAGCAACTTAGTGAGGCCCTAAGCAACTCAGTCTCTAAATAAAATATTAACAACAACAAAAAAAATTGGGGGCGCTGGGGATGTGGCTCAGTGATTAAGTGTTCCTGGGTTCAATCCCCAGTACGAGAGAGAGAGACAGAGAGAGAGAGAGAGAGAGAGAGAGAGAAGATGCATAAGAGAGTATACTGGGAAAAATGAATTTAGTCAGGAAAGGTCTCCGGGGAGATTTCATGAAGTTTGAGTAAAAATTAGCCTGGAGGAACAGAGTAGGTGTGGGAGAGTTCCTTTGCGAAAAGGCCCAAGATACGAAAAAGCTTGGTATGTTCCAAGAAACTCACAGACCGTGTTGCTGGAGTATCAAGAGTGAAGAATGGCATCAGATATGTGGAAAAGAAGCTGAGTGCAGTGGTGTACACCTGTAATCTCAAGTTACTTGGGAGGCTGATGTAGGAAGATCACAAGTTCAAGGCCAGCCTCAGCAACTTAGTGAAACTGGTAAAGCACCCATAGATTCAATTACCAGTAACGAAAAAAAAAGTTAAGTGAAAATGGTAGGAAGTGCCCAATCATGCAGGAACCCAGGGCATGTGAAGGACATGGGTTTTACTGCACTTGTACTAGACAGCAACTGAAAGATACTGAGGGACTAATATGATTTTATTTACCTTCTAAGACTATTCTAGCTGTTGTGTAGAGAATGGATTAAATGGTGGATAAGGATGGAGGACTTAAGACTAATTTGGAAGCTACTGCAAGGACTAGGTAAGAGAGGCTGGTGGCTTGGTCTAAGGTGGTGGAAGTGAAAGAGAAATGAATGGAGTCAAAGGCTATTTCAGAGGTAGAAATAATAGGACTTGGTGATGAACTGAATGAAGTAAATGAAATCCCGGCATGTTAGAAAACATGGGTGTGGAAAATAGCAATAACTGGTTATTACCTTAGGAAACTCATTACCTTAGGAATCTAAAACTTAGAAAAAATTAGCTGCTTAGACAGTGTCATAACTGGATGGGGTCTCAGAGGAAACCTAGTTCACTTCTTTTGATTTAAAGTTTGGATATTATATAACAGAGAGACAGATATGCATATTATGAATCACAGAGAACATTACAGAAAAATAAAAACCATCTGTCCTGTCATGCAGTCATGATCATTATTAGTATTTTTATATATATTACCTCTCATCTTTACATACATACTATGGTTTTGTTATGAACATCCATTCAATTTTTTTTATTGGACTTTCTCCAAATACATGCAGAGTGTCCTGCTCTAGCACTGAAAGTACAACAATTAGGACAACATTCCTAACTTCATGAAGCTTATATTCTCTAAGGAAGACAGAATATACTCTCAGGCATAATAAATTCTTTGAATAGCAAAAAGGGATAGGAGTGCGGTAAGGACTCCTCTGATTACAGTTCTGAGAAGACAACATTGAAACAGAGATCTGAAGGGAGGCACAAACCATGTGGAGATGTAGGGGAAGATGTTAGGACATTCTAGAGGGAAAGGTAAAAGCAAGCATCAATACCTTGAGATGGCAAAAGACCCTGGCATATTCCAGGAAAATTAAGCAGCAGCTTAGAATCACACCTGTATGTATGGTCTATAAAAGGGTTTGGGAGTTTGTATACCATGAACATTCCCCCATCCCAGAAGTCAGCAAATTATCCCTGCTTTTAAATATAGTTTTATCAGAACACAACCAGATCTACTTTTTATGCATTGTCTATGGCTGCCTTCAAGCTCCAACAGTAATGAGAAGTTTTTCTTTTTTTTTTTGTAAAAGCCTAAAATATTTACTATCTTTAGGAAAAGTTGGCTGACTCCTGCTCTAATTCTTACAAAACACCACGATTAATAGCTATTTAATGCTCTACTAAAATGCACAGCAGGATTTCTCTAACTTCTAAGAACCCAAGAGCAAACTATTTTTTATAGAGTATAGGCTCTGCAATCCAAAGTTGGAAGGCAAGATGAGGCCAATGCAGGGGGGCAGATGGAGAAGGGGTTACCTTGCCTGTGAGGTGCAAGTGCTGACACAGAGCTGTCTGCCAGGCACAGATCCATTGGGGATCCTCTAGGTCACAGTAGCAGTAATAAAGTAGCACCTCCCCTTCTTCACTGCCCTGGCCACTATAAAAGAAAATCAGAGGAAAAGAGCATTTGAGATGCTGGTGTATCAGGCAGAAGATGAAGATGGAGCAACTCATGTCTGCCGTTTGCTTCTACTACTATTCTCCTGAAATAAAAAGCAACTTCTTTTGGTATTTTCTCTGTAGAAGGCAGTATCTGCACCGAACATCCTACTTTACAAAAAGTTAGTTTACTTAACTCTCCTTATAGTCATATCTGAGAGACTGGTATTAATAACTCCATTTATAGGAAAGTTGGAAATATGAGTTCATTCTGGCTTCTCCTCTAACACAAGGCAGTATCTGTTTTGAATCTCTCACCAAATAAAAAAGTTTCAGTTCCATTTTTTTCAATCCTCTTACCTGTGAGGTTATTGTCCCTATGGGACAAACTTTCATACCTTAGCAAGTTCATGCTGTCAACAGTAAACCACTCAAAAAGTGCAACCACATTTCCCACACTCTAAGATACTACAGAAGAGTATACACAGTTTGAAACATACAACTTAAAAAAAAAAAATTCATTAGGTGGGATATACATTCCCCAATAAATTCCAATAAATGATTTGTTTTGCCTGGGTGTACAAATGGACTCATTTGGTCTAATTTATAAGAGTCCTTTTGTTGTTGTTAGTTTTTACCTATTCCATTTATTTATTTAAAGAAATTTAAATCACCAGGCATAATGATGTACATCTGCAATTCCAAGACCCAAGAGGCTGAAGCAGGAGGATCATAATTTCAAGGCCAGTTTGGGCAACTGAAGGACACACTGTCTCAAAATAAAACAAAACAGGGCTGGGAATGAGTGCTTTCTTGGAGGGAGGTCCTGGGTTCAAACCCTAGTACTGACAAAAACAACAAAACCCAAAGATATAAATAACCAAAATTTACAAGTAAAATACACAGACCATAAGTGTACAACCTGATCAATTTTGACACAGGGGTATACCTGTGTAACCTACACCCCTATCAAAACATAACATTCTCAACATCTCAAAAAACCCTCTTGTATATATTGCAAGTCAAATCTTCCACTACAGGCAACCTTTCTATCATCATAAATTTGTTTTTGAAACCAGAAAGTAAGTACTCTGGTTTTGGTCTCTCAGCATAAGGGTTTTGTGGTTTACCCATACATAGCCCTTCATATGAACAGTCCACAGCTTGCTCCTGTGCAATATTTTTATGATTATACCAGTTTATATTGTTCTCCTACTGATAGACAGTTGTAGTTATTTACAGTTTTTGTTGTTGTTATGAATAAAACCATGAAAATTCTTGTTCAAGGCTTTTTGTGGACATGTTTTTATTTCTGTTTGAAATATACTCAGGACTAAGTCATAGGCAAGATGCTTAACTTTAAAAAAAAATAAAATCTACTGAGGGCTGGGGTTGTGACTCAGTGGTAGAGTGCTTGCCTAGCATGTGTGAGGCACTGGGTTTGATCCTTAGCACCACAAAGAAATAAATTGAAGGTACTAAAAGAAATGGGAAATAAAAGGTCAACTATTAGGAGGGGAAAAAAAAAAAAAAGAATATGCTGAACACTTTTCCAGAGTGGTTGTATCATTCATTTCACATTCCCACCAGCAACAACTGGGTGTTCCAGCTTTTCTACATTCCCATCCATATTTGCTGAAATTGGTCCTTCTCATTTTAGCCAGTTTAGTGGATGTTGTGTTGCTCATGACAAAAACACTCAGGGATCACTCCAGGGGAACTGGGCTGTGCGAAAAAAACCACACAAGAGACAGAAATACCTTTTTCTTTGGGGGTGCTGTGGCGGCTCCTCTGACCTTAAGGGTCTGCAGAAAGAGAGAGTGAGCCAGCATGTGCTGACCCCTTTTATTGAGGAGAAGCCATTTAAATGAGGCAAGGGGTCAGGTTTCTAACTTCATGATGTCTGCTGTCAGCAGGTTGACTGACATCTAGGAAGGCCACACCCAAGGGCAGAGTAACAGAAGGGGACACACAAAGGGCGTTTCCATGGAACATTCTATCCCAAACAGAGCAAAGGGTAATATCACAAAGGAACAGGTGAGCATAGCTCCACCCATAGAGCTGCAGGAAGTCACGCCTACGCATGAAGACACATTTGGTTGCATTATTTCTACCCTCAAGATCAGGGCTACCGTCTTCAGCTACTTAAGAGTAACCAGATCATTATGGGTGGGGGGGTGACTGACAGTGCCTCAACTTATCAGGAGGGGAAAAACGCTGGTCACATGACGTGACTACCTCCCACAAGTGGGAGGGTTGTTGTATCTCACTGTGGCTGGAAGAGTATTTTTAAGTCAAAACCAAAATACCAAATGGAAATCTTACCTTTTCAGTTCATCAGGGCTAAAGCAGCTTGTGTCAGGCAGCCAAGCAGACACCTCGTGGCTATGAGTGAGATACTCTTTTAGTGGGTTCTTTTTGTTTGCAGATGTGACACTCTTTGAGGTACTCAATGTTGCAGCAAGTTGCTTTAAAATAAAAGCAGTCTGGTGATAAATTTCATCAGCATGTTGTGTTGCCACATGTCTATGGATACTGGTCTGGTTCATGAATAGCTGCTGACAGCATTTCCACCATTTTTCTTTACATTCATAAGAAGGTGCAGGAACTTGTTTGGTTTTGACCAAAAGGGCAAAGGCCTGCAATTACATTTCAAATAATATCACTATTAAATAACCTTAAGTTTATAGGTAATAAAAATTTTAATGAAATCTTTTATTTTGTTTATCCACAGGCATTTCTAGTTTTACGTCCCACTATTCTATGGACAAATTCCCCGAGACAGTGACAGTTCTCTTATTAGTAAGCTTCAGAAGAGACTAATAGAGAAATTAAAACCAGGTGCTTTACATTATGGAGCTTAAATAGTCCCCAGCACCATAAATTTATTCTCAGGATGCAAAATCTAAGTCACACTGGAATGAATATATACTTTAGTTTGGGAAGTCAGAATGGGAAGACGTGGCATCACCTCCTGGACTTCCACAGTTGAGCTCTCTCCCCCAACCTCTCTTTTGCTCTTCCTCCACCACATGTATCTGCCACATGAACAAATCGGGGCACCTTGCTGTTTTTATTTTCCCATCCTTGCCCATGTTATTCCCTGTAGGTGGGATGTGCTATGCTAATCTCCTATTTTCCAGAATTACTTTATAAATTTCAGAGCCTACTTTAGTGGACACCTCTATGATCTTCCTACTTCCTACTATTTCTCCATATTCTAAAAAATAGAAATTTCTGGTTTTTTCCAATTATTTGTAAATACTGGCTCTAATGTTCACTGTATCTTTAAGAATAGATACAAATCTTTTGATAATCAACCTTCAGGTGCTGAGTTTTCATCTAGACAAAGTAAGTCATAAGAATCACACAAATGTTAAACAATGTAATTCGATTTATGCCCTTGCCTGGTATAGAAGGTAGACAGTGGCATTCCTTTGCAATGTATTTCCCCATTCTGTTTTTAGTCTAATCTTTCTCTTATAATATTCCTAGTTCAATTGAACCTATCTATTAATCCTTTAATATGACTTAAAATATTCCTGCCTTTATAGCTTTGCTTCTACTAATTGTAGTGTCTAGGATGCTCTTTCTTCTTTGTAAGCCACTAAAATCTTATGTAAATGAAAAGATTAAGTATTATAATGATGTCAATTCTTCTTTTTTTTGGGGGGGGGTATTAGGGATTGAAACCAGGGGTGCTTAAACACTGAGCCACATCCCCAGCCCTTTTTTATTTTGAGACAGAATCTTGCTAAGTTGCTTAGGGCCTTGCTAAGTTGTTGAGCCTGACTTTGAACTTGTGATCCTCCTGCCTCAGCCACCCACACTGCTGGGATTACAGTTATGCACCACCATGCCTGATCAAGATATCAATTCTTTAAAGCATGTATTTAATGCAATTATAGTCACACCAGGTTTATAACCAATTATAGTCAAACAATTGTCCTTTAGGAACTTGACAAGATAGTTCTAAAATAACAAAGAACTCTTATTGCCTAACAAAATCCATTTTCTTTTCTTATAGGGCAAACAATCAGGATTGGCTGTATAACTAAGTTTTCTCTAATGGAATGTGAATGAAAGTGACATGTGACAATCCAGGTCTTTGTGTGTGTGATGGGCTGGGATTGTGGCTCAGCAGTAGAGTGCTCACCTAGCATCTTCAAATACTATACCATGACTGTTCCTGAGCCATCCTATGCCTATGATCTCCTTTGCCTGGTACTGAATTAACACCACTAATTAAGGCCCCTGACCAGATCATACTAGAGCTGGAGGGCAACCTCAAGAAGCTATTTTAGAGGCACCAGCATTACTATATACACATTACTATATACACATGATCAGGAAAACATTGATAGCAATTTTACCTTTTTCTTTGCAAATGAGTATTTCTTCTTTGTACTGCCATCTAACTCTGCTTTGAGCGTATTGCTGGAACTAATAAGACTTTTATCTTTTAAATCCAGGTCAGAAAATCTTAAAATGCAGGCCTCTTGGTCATCTTCTTGGCCTGGTGCAGTTGAAGAAGGCATCTGGATTGATTGCAGCAGTGGGTAGAGATTCCTTTCAGTTTAGTATTTCCTAGGACATAAGCAAAAGAGAAAGCAATGTCAAAGTCTATTTATTTCCTGAAGTAAATATGAGCTAATCAATCATGCAAATCTGCACAGACCCAGTAGCCCAAGCTATCTGTTCATTCGACTGCTCAATTAATAGTATCATTTAACCACTATTTAGTGCTACACACTGTTCTACACATTGGGGATATAGCAGTGAATGAAAAACGAGACTTTCCATTTTCTTAGAGTTTACATTTCAGTGGAGAAAGGTAAAGAAATGAATAACCTGACTACTAAAAAAGAAAGATGTTGGGAAGGATTATGAAGAAAAATAAGCAGGATAAGGAGGCAAAGGGATGGAGGGGCTCTTTAAACAAAGCTAGTAGGAAAAGCTTTTCTGAAACAGTAGCATTTGAACAGAAACCTCAACCAGGGAGCAAGCCATGCGCACATTTAGGGTAAATACAGAAAAGCACCATGTACAACCAAAATCAACCAAGCTGTGTGCTAGTATCTTCCATTATTAACACTTTGTTCTTTCTGTCCCAAATTTCAGAGCCCATTTTAATAAGCCAGAAGAAACCTCAAAAATGTTACTGTGGGGGCTGGGATATAGCTCGGTTGTAAAGTGCTTGACACGCATGCACAAGGCCCTGAGTTCAATCCCCAGGACCATCAAAAAAAAAAAAAAAAGATGTTACTGTGGCCAAATCTTGTCAAGATGGATACACTACAACCAACCAACCAACATACTGATTCTTTTATAAAACAACTGTTACAGGTTACAAATGCTAAGAGGCAATATGAAGCACTGAGAAAAGCATGGACTTTGGCTTGTGCTCTCAAGCATCTGAACCTAGGCAAACCATTTACTTTCTTGGAGTTCTAATTCCCTGAGTCTGCAAATTGGGGATGACAATATTTACTTTACAGCATTAGAAAAGAATATATGACACATCTGACACATACTATGTTTTGATGAATAGTAACACTGTTGATATTTCAATTAGATGTAATGCCACATTTAAAATTTAACTTTAAATTGACTTATCTAAAAAGCAGCAACTGTAGACTATTATTTTCCAAAAATGATTGCAATCAGTATTTCTAGTCTATTTTCCTTCTCTTTAAGCCTAGGCAGCCCCATAATTGCTCCCCAAAATAAAGTATGGCAGAAGCAATGCTATGTAACTTCTAAGATTGGGTACTAAAAAAGGATACTGTCCTGCCTCTTGCTCTCCACACAGCATTTTCACTACCCTCCAAATTATCTCCCTTTATTCTGAATCTTCTTCCAATTTTACCTTACTTTATATCTTTATTTGGAACTATTCTTTATGGAGCCTCTACTATGTGCCTGGCACATAGAATTGTACTGGGAATGCAACTCAGAATAAAACTGCTGAAGTTTCTGTTCTCTTGGAGCAAGTAAGGGGAGTCTACAAAAAAGCAAATAATAAAAACATGAAAATACCAGATAGTGTAAGTTCCCTTTGCTGAACTCTTTACCATCCTAAGCTCTAAATGTTGAATTTCTCTATTACATTCACCCTGTAGATGATATCATCTACTCCCATTACTTAAAAGAACTATATTTGCTTCAAAATAAGTGGGGAGGGAGGTAAAATAGGTGAAATCAGACTGGCCATAAGCTGATAACTACTGAAGCTGGGTGATGAATACATGGGAGTTCTTTAGTTTCCCCTACTTTGGCAGATATTTGAACTTCCATTAAAAGATGGAAGACAAATGTTAAGAGAAAATTTGTATTTAGACTACTACATAATAAACAACTCCAAATCTGTTATCTCCAATCTGGGCCTCTTTCCGCACAATTTCATCTAACCACTAGCTAGCTTCAGTTTCAAAGGCAACTATTCAAAACCAAAATTCTTAATGTACTTCCTCCAAATGAAACATGCTCTTCTCCAGTCTTCCTTATCTCGGTAAAAGACAATTCTATTCTTCCTCAGACAAAAAACTGTGGGATGATTCTTGACTCCTGATTTTTCTCAAAGGATCATCAAGCCCTTCAGAAAATCCTATCAGCTTTGTTTTTGACATACAATCAAAGCAGACTTCTCTGTACCACCTTCACTACCACCTTTCAGTTCCCCAGCATTTCTTGCCTGAATTACTGCAATAGCCTACTAGTCTTCTTCCTGTAGAAACCAGGACAGTAACTTAAAAACCAATCAGGTTATCTTCCAAAGGCTTCTCAATTTATTCAGATGATGTCCAAAGTCCTCACAAAATCCCTTCCCCTTACCTCTCTGATCTCATCTTCCACTACTCTCCATTTGCTCATTAGACCTCAGATCCCACTACTTGTGCCCATTCCTTTATGGGTCATTTAGAACAACATTTAGCTCCAAGAGAGGATGGATTTTCCTTTGTTCGCCTCTGCATTCTCAGCATCTACAACACTGCCTAGAGCACAGGAGGTGCTAAATGTTAACAATCCAATACTTATTGAGTGAAATAGAACAGTGATTGAATAGTCAGAGAAATGCCTCACTGAGAACCTGATAGTTGAGCTGAATCCCTTATGACCAGGAGTCAGTCATATAGAGTTAGAAGACAACTTCAAGTAATAGTGACTGTAAATTGCTAAAATGGGAACAAGATTGACTCATTACAAGAGGCAAAAACGTGGTTGGAGCACAGTGATGAGGGCAGAACCTTACAGACCCTGGTTTGTAGCTTGCAACAGAAAGTTTACAGAGAATTGTAAACAAAGGAATAGAGATCTGATCATAGATTTGATTTGAAAAGTACAGCTGTCACGGTTTATGGATAAGAGTTATATAGGAAATGAAAGACCTAAGAATGATTCCTCCCTACATTTTTGGGTTAAGCAACTGAAGGATGATGCCATTTACTGAAATAGGTAAGACTGGGGGGAGAAATAGCTTAGGCCAGGAGGGTACAATTTCAGATGACCATGGACAAGGCAGTGTGGTGCTCAAAGACGTCAGGGCAGAGATGTACATATACTGCACACGCAAATAGGAACCCAAGGACCACTGGAAACAAAGTACTGAAACCATCACGTGTCCCTATTAATCAGCTCAGACAGGTGAGAGGTAAGGCCGCCAAGACAGCAGCAGGCCTGCCCACATCCCAGGGGGCTGTCGGAGCGGCTCCGCCTCCCGCCAGGCCGCACCCCACGCGCCAGACCTGGCCCAACCTCTCGCCAGCTTTCCCGAGGCGGCAAAAGCCGGGAGGAGGGAGTAAGATGGGCACGTACCCGCCAGTCCAGAGCCTTTCCTAGGTTTTTCTTCGAGGAACTGCCTCTGCTTAGCAATGGTTACCTCTCCCCGCCCTCTAGCCCACACCCACGCCGCGCGTTTGCTAGCCTCGTGACGTCACCTCGCTCCGGAAGTCCTCGCGGGCGCCGGCGCAAGGGCCGCCGGGAACAAGCGGGGGGCGGAGCAAGGGAGCCCCGTGGGCGTGCCCGGAGCCCGGGCGGGGACTGAGCGGGCCCTGCACCACTAATCCCCAGGCTTGGCTCGCGGCCGGCGCGCTCTGGCTGGCTGGAGCGGCGGCCTCTTCCGCGTGGCCCCGGAAGGACACTAGGCGGAAGGCGGGAGAGGGAAGCCGCCGGCCGCGGAGGAAGCCCGAGGGGGCGGATGCGTGCGGACCGGACGCCCGTAGACCAGTGAGCCTCCAGACGCCGGCTTTACGCTCATCGGCAGCCTCTCCCGTCGCGCTTTCCGTGAGCCTTCGGGAGCGAGTGCGCCTGCGCGCCGTCCTCTCCGCGTGCCTCGCTGCTGTCCTCAACGCCGGCCGGCGGCCCGACGGTTCCTGTGGCGCTTCCCGCCCGGCTTCTAGGCTCGGCAGCGCACGGGCCGGCGGCATGTCGCGGCGGCGGCACAGCGACGAGAACGATGGTGAGTGCCCTCGGCCGGCCGCCGAGGACGCGTCCAGCGGAGCTGTTTGGCTTAATTGGTCTTTGGGTCTGTGGGAAGGGACTGGAAGCCCGTCCCCCCGTGCGCATTCCGGGGGCCTTGGAGGGAAGGGTGTGCACCGCGCGGCTGAGCCTGGGCGGCTTCGGACAGCGATGCCAACTCCCCGCCCCTTGGGGAAAGGAGGCCTGGCAAGTCCCTGAACAGATCCTTGGTCTCTAAGGACTCCTGGATCTGGCCGTGCGCCGAGGATCAGGAAGTGCACCCGTGCCTGGGCTGCCGCCTCTTATGGTCAGTGTCGGGGACCCAAAGACCCGGTGCTTGTTTTAAATCCTCAAAGCTGCACGTGAAACAGGTTCACGAAGACTTCACCAAAAGAAAAGGAACAAAACCTTGACCGAGATCTGATGAAGTGCATGCAGTCTGAACTCCACACCTGTTAGTCATGTGATTTGCCCTCTTTTAAACTGCAGGGAGAAAATTTTGTCTGTTTTCCACACCCAACAGATCACTAGTAAACAAACCCATGTAGTTACATTAGATTAGTCTTAAGCATGTTTTTCCCGTGTAAGAAAGAGTGCAGGAAAACTAACAGAAGACCAGAGGTTCTCAGGACCTTTTGGAATGGTTGTGTTTATGAAGGTCATGATGTTGTAATCGTAAAATTAAGAATAATTTTGCTAGTTTAAACAGAGAAAAGCTTGCTTTATGTAAAGCATTAAAACCAATGGAGAACACACAGCCATATACAAAGGAGTGAAACTAAGGAGTAATTATTTTTAGTGTTTTTTCCTTAAAGAGAGTGTATCAAAATAGTTGAAGCAAGATTTTGGAGCCAGAGCATTTAGGTCAAAGGCAGACCCTGCTATTTATCTACTTTGTGATCTTGCCCAGATTGTATAACTTCCTTAAACTTTAGTCTGTAATACAGAAGTAATGATATTTATCTCTTCTGATTTTGTGAAGGTTAAATGAATACATGTACCCATGTACCCAAGCTATTTATTATCTGTTAATGCTTCAGAAGTGATAAAAACTAGCAGGTACAGTAAGAGAAAAAAAAAACAGAATAGAAATTTTAAATTTAATGTGTTCTCCACTAACATTTTTCTCTCCTGAACTGTGGAGGCAGTTAGGGATAGAGGCAGAATCACATGTATTTAGTTTTAGCACTGAAACACCAGATTTCTGCAAGGGCAGGAATTGAGAGAATATTCTAGCCCAGCCTTCTTATCAGACACCCAATTATCAGTGCTCTTACAGCAGCAAGAGCAAGTCCAGGGCTTTCTCCATTGTATAAGTGTAATTGATGCTTTGAATTTTAACATGAGGCTTCTTGTACAAGATACAGAAAATATAGTTTGTGTATGCTATGTATTTGACTAATCAAAAACTTATCTGTTTGAAGTCATCTCTTGTGTTTTAGAGAAATTTTAGCCCTTTCTTCCCCCTTTTCTTTGCTTATTTGATGTTTTCTTTTCTCGATCCATTATGTCCTTCTCACTTGTAGGGCATTCCTAAAGGGAGGGAAGATGTCACCAGAGGGCAATCTGGAAATTGGAATGTGAATATGTGGAAAATAATTTGCTTTGGTTAGTAGGAGGCTTGCAGGGGTTTTTGGAATTGGCGCCTCTTTTACTCTAGCTAGAAGCTAAATCATTATTCATTTTGATCATGTAGGATCTTCCGAGTAAATAAGACAAAGACATGTAAAGAAGGTCATTATTATAGTGGTCTATAACCTTCCTTAAACAAAGGTTTTTATGTTGAATAGTTTAATAGTGGAGAGGCAGTTAGTAAGTTCCTCTTAATAATATGCTAAATCTAGAATTTTTGTAAATTGCCATAATTTGTATAATGATCCACTATGGTTTACCCTAAACAGTGATCTGAATCAAATATATTGGAAGCTTTTCTTAAATTTACTTTGGCATCTACTAATTTGTTTTTAAATAAGAAGGAAGTTTAACTATTATAGAAATGCTTTTAAAAGTAGGGTAGGAATTACTTCAATCAGAATTAAATGGGTGTATCTGAGCATTGTTGGACTCTTACCAGCTCTTAACAGTCACTGACCACTCTGACTTTCCATATGCTTGACTATGTACAGTAAGCCAATGCATCTACAGGTTTTGCATCTGGATTCAACCAGCCATGGTTGAGAGATATTTTGGGGAAAAACTGTATTAGTACTGAATGTGTATTCTCTTTTCCTTGTCATTGTTTCTTAAATAATACAGTATAATAACTGTTTACATAGCATTTACATTGTATTAAGTATTAATCTAGAGATAATTTAAAGTATGTTGTGTAGGTTATATGCAAATACCATACCATTTTTTTAATGAGAAACTTGAGCATCCTCAAATTTTGGTCTGTGGGAGGGGGAGTGATATCCTGGAACAGGAACACCTTGGATGGACTGTATTGTCAGTCAGTTTAGGACTTGCCAGGTAAGTCTCAACTACTTGTAATACAGTGGTGGACAATAAAAAGCTGGATCTTCCCTTTTAGTATGGAGAGACAAAAACAAGTATATATTATAATATGGTCACAAGAAGTTGGTCAGGGAGCACTTTATTGAGGATGGCATCTGATCAAGTACCTGCAGGATATATGGGAGAAAGCCATATGCTCTGTGGGAAAAAGCAGTGGTCCAAACAAAGGGAACTCTTCATTTCAAAGACCTTAAGTCTAGGACATTCCTGTCATGTTCACCAAATAGCAGAATGGCCAGTGTTGCTAGAATGGAGTGAATGAGGTGGACCTTACGAGAGATAAGAGCAGAGAAATAGCAGAGCGTCAAACCTTTCAGACCTTATGGGACAATTGTAAAATATTTCTTTGTTGAAACTAGCTTATCCAAGATTCATGGAGACAGGTTGAGACCACTATAATAATGAAGTTCATGTAGTAATTTATAGACAAGGAAAGGGATATCCTAAATGAAAATAATACATATAGATATTAGTCCAGTGCTAAATCTAACTCATTCCTTAAATTCCTTATAAATGTCTCTGAAGCTTTTCAGTTACTGTAGAATGTGCATTTAATAGGTATTAAATGCATTTGTTTTGTTTTGTTATGAATGGATTTAGAGTGTTAAATTTGCCAAAAAAAACCATTGGACCTAGAGTTAGACAGTTACTGATTTTTTTTTTTTTTTACTTAATTATGAAAGAAAAAATGAATAGAGTGAAGAAGTTGTTATTTTGCGAAGAATATACTTTAAAAATTGCTGGTTATCTGTACAAAACCTGCAGGGTCAAGATATATTGCTTATTAATTTTTAAAATTTTACTTTATTTTACAGGGTTTCCACTTTGTGGGTTCAAATTTTTTTGTAGCACATGTAATTCTAATAAGAATGTAGAAGTAGTACAATGTATTTATATAAGATTAGGATGGAGAAGCTGTCAGTGATTATAGCTCATAGATAGAGTGCTTGCCAAGCTTGTATGGGTTTGATCCCCAGCACCCCTCAACACCCACCCCCAAAGGGAGAAGTAGTGATAAATAAAATAAAACAGGATTGCCTACTAGTTTATTTGGGCAAAATTTATTTCGTGTATTAAGGCCCTTTCAGGTGGGTTTTAATAAAGAACAGTTTTTCATTTCTATGCTAGCCAAGTCCATCCAAGTGAAGTAGCAGTATATAACTTTAACATACATTATAAGGTTTTTATATAGTGATGTTTTACTATAAAATCTGTTTTTGCTTTGGAGCTACCATAGTCATGTTTTCTTGAGGGTACATGAAAAAAAAAACCAGTTAATTGCCCAAATAGTGTTTTTAATTAAGGTGCTTCTCTGCTCTCACCCAGGTTTTGTTCTGAATTCAGTATCTGGTCTATAAATTCAAATTGTTTGTAGTGCCCCCCTCCTTCACCATATTCTCTGAAAAATCAGATCAGAGTGGAATGTCTCTTTCCTCTGTACCTTCTGCCTCCTCCCATTCTCCAGTTAACTCTTAACCTTTATTTAGCTGAAATGAAAAGATTTGTAGTTGAGAGAGATTACTGTGCACCTGCATTTTCTCGTTGTTCCTCAGAATTTTTCCTTCTCTCTCTTTAGCATTTTTTTCCCTTTGTCAAGCATATATGAGGGCCTGGGAAGTTTGTTTTAAAGAAAGATATGATTCCAAACTGGACAAGCCAGGCAGATAGTTAAGTTAGGAAGGCTGTGGAGATGAGATAAAATGTTTGCAAATTAAATGGGCCAGAAAGAAGGGAACAGTGTGGTTAAGGTTTAAAAACTAACAATAAAAAACAACTGTTCTCATTCAGCTGGTTTACAGCATCTGCATTCCTTCAACTTCACTGAAATCTCGTTCTGAAGAATCCTACTAGTATATTCTGCTTTCTAGAACAGAGTTTTTCAACATCAGCACTATTGACATTTGGGGCGGGATTGTTTGTTG